GGTGTAGTATGTATTCTTCAAGTGGGTTGAATTTCTCTGCTATAGCGCATAAACTGTGGATCCACATGCGTGGATGTGGAACCCACAAATATCTGTGTATTTGCAGGTCTCTATCCTTTAGTGCAATGGTCCTCAGACTCTTTGGCCTGTGACCTACCCCACTTAATGCAGACATTTCCACGGATCACTAGCCAACCGCACATGATGACAAAATGGGTGAAGGTGGGGGTGCAGGATCTAGCTAAAAAGTAGGGTATGAGCTGGGTTTGCAGGGTCTGGACTAGGGATGTAAAAGAGTAATAGAATAATTAACTAGTTGACTACTCACATTCCCAGCGGGGGGGGGGGGGGGGGGGGCCAGCCAGTGCTGGGAGGAGCCAGTTTAAATGCTGGTTTCCCTAGTACGGTCTCCGTGGTGCTGTTGGGGGAAGAGGCAAAGCCACAGTGGGATTAGCTCCCAGAGCCACTGCAAGCTAGGACTAAGCTGTCCCGGTTAGTGCTGACCCCAGGAACTAACCTCACTGCAGTGCTGCAGTCGAAATACAGTAGAAGGTGGGCTGAATTGGTGAACTGGTGGTTCAGGAGGAAAATTTGAAGATTTTTTTTCAAAATAAATTAAAACTTTAATTAAATAGACCCAGAATGCAAGTTCATCTGTGGTTGATACAGAGCATAGAAAAATGACAAGAATTTTTTGTGAAATTGATTTGTACATAATTGAACCACCCATATTAATTGCTGCACCATTTCAGCCTGCTGAGATTTGGAATGCTCTCCCTTGATCCCACAAACTCTATTAGCTGTTATGGATTCCCAATCAGCACTGTCAGCACAAATTGCCCCACCTGTACTAATCTGATGGATGTGTGCTGATTAATTCAGCTCTAGACCTGTCAGCAACTCCATCAGCAGGCACTGTGGTAAACCTGTTTTTCTGCATGCATTTGAGATCTATTTTCTTTCCTCAAATGATGCTAATTTTGACTACCTGTTGATGTTTTTGCCAAGAAGCATTTCTATGCTTTTTCCCATGCTGTTGCTTATTGGGGTTGCCAGGCATCTGGTTTTTGACTGGCGTTTACACTCCGAACGACGTGGCTCCATCCTTGAATTCCCTCCTGCACCCCAAATATCTCATCACTGGCCCTATCCTAGAGCCTGTACCCTAGGCTGAAACCCTCACCCCTTTCCCACACCTCAGGCCAGTGAAAGTGAGTGAGAGCAAGTGACTGAGTGGGGGAGGGGGCAGGACCTCACAAGGGACAGGGACTTGGTGCAGGGGTGGGGCAAGGGTGTTCCATTTTATGCAACTAGAAAGTTGGCAGCCCTATCTCTCATGCATGGGAAGAGCTCCCCCTAAGTATTCTCAAATCTGATTTTTGTCATCATCCTTCAAGTCCCTCTTGAAAACTTTTCTGTGGGTGCAACTGCGTTGCATGCTTGTTTTGATAGAGGGTAGAGTACATACCCATTTGGCCCCTTAATATGGATATAAATATGTAGCTGGTGAGGCATGTCTTATGCAGGTGGCATAAAGATGTGTCTGAAGGATATGGATGTATGAGAGTATGTACCTTACATGCTCTTTGCTCTCCCAAGCTGTGCCTACGTCTTCACACTACTATTTTTAGTAGTCTCGTATCTCACTGCCTCCCTGCTCTGCTGAAGCCTTTTTTCCCTTTCATAGGAAAAAAAATCACCCTGGGGGGAAACACTGACAGGGAGGAAGCAGAGAGAAAAGGCTTGGGCAGCTCTCTGCTGCAGGGCAAGATTTTTGGTAGCAGTGAAGGGCTCTGCCATCTCCTTTTGGCTGGAGCTCTCTCTGCTAAACTTTCCCAGCTGCCTCTCCTTGGCTCTCTTTGGCTGCCAAACCCTTTCACTGACATGTGTACACGTTGTTTGTGGATGCAGCCTGCTTTCACGTAGCTATGCATAGCTACTCTGCAGCCAGTGTGGCATGCAGCATAGAAGTATCCTGTCAGAGTGCCTGTAAATACAGAAATTTGGCAAGGATTAAGCAACTGATATGTTTTGAGATCTGCTTATCGTGCCTCAAAGGTTTTGTTTTGTTCTCCTTCAGTCTGTTTATTGTGCTCACTGGGTATCTATGGCTAGTTGGATTGTAATCTCTTTAGGGAAATGAAACTGTTCATATTTCTGCAAATACACAAATATGACATGAACCCTGTTGTTTGTTGCCATTCATGCTGAAAAATGCATGCATGGTAATGCTCGCTTCTTTTAACACAAAGGACTATGGTAAAACATCTAACTTGGATTTTCATAACACAGACCAAAGAACCTTGCCCTGGACAATTTCTGTGTCAAGACTGATTCCTGATGTATTATTCTGTGCTATACATTGCATACCTTGTTCACTTGATCCATGGCTTTCAATAGTATCTGCTTCTGGCTCAGAGAAAGTGGCTGGTCAGTTTTGACTAACCAAAAATGCTTGTTGCAATGATTTGATAAGTCCTAGACATTTTTCAGCTGTTTAATAAAATTAACTTCTGAATATGAGACTTTTACATAAGTATTTTAAAATATGTAAATTAAGGTCTGGTTTGAAAATTTGCCTGCCTGGCCTCAGTAATTGCCAAGGTATGTAAAGTATTCATGAGAGAACACCTTCCTCCAAAAATCAAATTAATATATTTTGCAGTTCTTCCTATAAAGAGGAACCCTATGTTGAGGTCCTTTCCACTTGCCCCTTTCCAAAATGCTGAAATGATACTGTAATATATACTCACCAGGGAAAACAATTTGTGTATATACTCACCAGGGAAAACAGGGAGTGTTAATGAAGAGAAGAACAAATATTTCCTTTGGTTTTGGGTGGATCAGATAATATGCATATGGTCTAAATGTCTGGTAATGTCCCCAAATAAGTTATGCTCAATAGATGAATTTATCCTATCCTATATAGCTTGCTAAGGAATAAGGATCAGAACATATGACAAACAGTTATAAATCTTACCCTTAACATCTGAAGATGCTGTGACATGTAACAAATAAGATATTGGTGAACAGAGATGGTCATGAGTAATACAAGTGATTAAACCACTTGCTTTTTATTGACCTTTCAGTTAGTTTGATTCCATATAACAGGGCATGCAATGTCAAGATCAAGATATAGCATTACTTAAGATCATTTTTCAGATTGCCGCCATAATATCAAAATACATTTTTCTTGTATTAAGCTGTCACTGTAGTGTAGGTTTTTTTTCCCCAGTTATGCAATCTATTGACCTGTGTCACAGGTCACACTATGAAAAAAATCATATTTCATATACTGTGCATGAAATTGCTTTTTTTTTTTAAATATAGTTGAGTCAAACCAGTATAGCTGAAATGCTAAGTAATGTAGGTAAATGTGCAGTTAATAATATGAAGGAAGTCTTGAAAGTAAGCTTAAGGTTCCATGTAGTTAAAAGTATTATAGCATAAGAGATGTCAGTTAGCATAAGCAGCTTGACCTTGAATAATAAATGCTTTAACTCATTTTTTAAGTTCAAAATAACAGTTTATGCTTGAGATAGTGGACTTCCAGGGGATTTTCACTATGGGTAACCAAGAGGATGACCACATTAACTTAGTAAAAACACTGGAAAATGTATCAATGTGGTATTGATGCACAGCTTATATCAGCAGTTGGAACTTTGAATACAGGTACCTTGAAAGCAACATGTAAGAAAGGTGCCAAGACCTAAGTATATATGGCAATGGATATGTAAATTTATAAATGTATAAAGCCTGATGCATGAATGTTCACAAATGAGACATCAGGAGTAGGGATGTTAAAATGCATTTAATTATGTAATTGTGTAACCATTTAAAAATTCAGTGGTTACATGGAGGTGAGGGGCATGCGGCTCTCGTGTACCAGCTCCTGCAGAGCTGCCTACCACCGGATACCTGTGTGCACCTGCTCCTGCCTGCATCCCACACTGCTGCCTCTGATATAGGCAGCAGCCTAGGGGTGGGGAGGGAGACTATGTAATCATACACATTAACCAAATTATCTAAAACAACCCCCAGTTTTACTATTTTTCTTTCAAGATTTGTTTTCTGAATTCTCATGGTTTGGAAGTTTCTTATCTATCCATTTTTCTGCCTCGTGAAATTCTGGCATAATGCATGATTCCCTCCTAAACAAACAGGAAGAGCTTCATAATTTATTTGTTGTTATAACTGATAATCAGGTTTGTCTCCATAGCTGGTTTGGAAACAAAAATTACATAATGGAGTTCAAACAAAATGCAAAATTTGAACTTTATTTTTTTTTTAAATTTTTAATTGAAATTCTCATTTGATTATTTCGGAACAATGAATTGAAGAAATGGACCAACGCACGTATTTATCATTGCAGGATCTGGTCCTTAAAAAGCTTTTTTTTCCCCTTCAGTTCCATTTCCCGTTTAATTTTCTTAACTTCCTTTTCCCCATTTTTATTTAAAAAAAACAAACCCACATCACTCTTCAACCTAAAACTAGGTGTTAAGAGTATAGTTAGTAAAGCTGGATAGATTAAGTTAAAAGTTGTTTGCAAGCATTACCTTCTCTTTTACAAATATACCTGGAAAACCCTCTTCTCTAGAAAATTGTGCATTATATTGTATTTCATGGTTTTAGAAAAGTTTAGCTGAGAAATATGGAAATTGTTTAGGTTTTTCGGTCTAATTTACTATGCTTTTACACACTTCATAGTAATGGTTTACATTAGAAAATTCCCACTGTGTAGTAAGTAATTGGTTCATGCTAAAGGAGATGGAATTTACTGATACGTTAAACTTAAACCCTTCATACAAGGCATGAAGAACAAACTTGCAGTCCTTTTGATGGTTAAGCTTTTACTCATACAATTCTTTGAAAGAATTGTATGGATATAAATTTCTGACTGAAGTCCTGAGTCCTACTTCTCAGTCTGTTGCTAGCACTGTGTTCTTTTTATTATTATTTTTAAAACACAAATTAACACCCAATTATTTGCTTTATAGGCTGTCACTGGGAAAAGCTTTGGAACCAAAGACTTTCGAGCAGCTTTAGAAAATGGAATTCTGTTGTGCGAGTAAGTTTATATTTTCCATAATACAATAAATGTAAAAGCTGCCCAGCTTAAACATATCACCTATTCACTTCTGAAGATGAAATATGCAAGAGAAAATTGGCCAATCTTGTTCAACTGATGTTTTGTGGCTGCAAACAATACTTGTAGGATTAAATTGTTACTTTGTAGTCTCAGAACACATTATTAAAGATGGAAGGTGATGGAGAAACACTATTCTCCTAGTGCTACTTGCATTTTAGAGCAGAAAGAAATTTTTCACCAAACTTTTTGCAAACACTAAAATAGCTTAAATTTTTTTTACCAAATTGTTTGTACTTAAAAAAAAAAAAAAAAAGCCACCCCCCCATAGAAATCCAAGAAGTCTAAGCATTTTTATTTCTTTTTCTTTCAACATGTTATTCAGATTGATGTTTGAAAAGATTAAGGCACTCTAAGTCAAAATGAATACTTGTGGCTTAAATAAACCATTTCCACAGAACATAAGGTATAATTTTTCCTTCGTTCTTCACGCATGCTGCTGCTGACTTAGTCAAACTGATGGTGCAGTTATTTATTTCACTGTTTCTCTGAAAACATTTCAACCACTTACAAGTTACGGGCATAGAGCTAAAAGGGTTTGCTTATCTGTGAGTCAGAGTAATAGAACTTTCACCCTGACCCTGAATATTTTCCGTTTTTATTTAAAAAAAAAAAAAACCTTTCACATTGTTTAAGTTCAGAATCCCAGGCCTGCAAGCAGCTTTAAACTGCTATGATTTTTGGCAGGGTAGGAGTAAAAGTTATCAGAATGCCAACAATAAAAAATGTGCATGTTGTGTTTCCAAATTATTTTTATGGGGAGGATGTTAGTTTGTGGGATACCAAAATATTTATTCAAAAGCCTTTAATTTTCTGTACATACTGTAACATGAACAATTATGAGAAGTGCAGAAACTATATAACTTTTTCTGAATTTCTCTCATTGTCTTTGTTGTCTTCTCTCTCTGTTCTGTTGTATCTGTCTCTTCCACTTGCTTCTGCTTCCTCCATCTTCCTCTTTGGGATACAGCAGTTGATCAGTGAAGTGAAAAATTAGTTATGATTTCTTAAAAATCATAACTGCTATAGAATTGTAGAACTGGTCACCTTATTTAACATCTGATTGAAGCAGAGTAGATACAATAAAGCATTTGGTTTGTATCTTTTAAAAAGGTACTCTAATGTTGCAGTAAAAACCAAGTAATTCAAAATTATCTTGAATTGGGAAATGTTTTTGTTTTAAAAAACAAATTAATTAGTTAGAGGTATTCATGTAATTGAATGAGGTATGAGAGAAGTCTAGATTTAAAAACTTGGTATGAGTTTTTTAAAAATAAAGCTAAAACGTTTCTTCCAGAGTTAGAATGCTCAACAGGTGTATTTTAAAATCTTCTGCTAGCCTCATTGTCCAGCGATACGAAAAGATCAGGAGACACTTGATATTGTTTTAATCTGATAATAACTTTATTATTAGGTGTCTGGAACGACCTGACCGATAGAAGTGAACAGTGTAGTCCATGTTCATTCAATATTTACTTGTGGGAAGCTTTCACCAGCCCTCCTCCCCTTTTTCTATCTAGGTCTCCCAGGCAGATCTTAACCTCCTCCGAGCTCCATTTTACATTATTTTTCTAAGCCATTTATCTGATCACCGCATGCCTTGCCTATGGAGTACTTGCACTGGATATTCACATCACTCTTACAAAATTAGTTGTGACATCATAACCTAACATCTTTCCTTACTCATGATAGCAAAGACCTCCCTGAACTTGCTGTGGGGAAGACCCCTTCTCTCTTCTCCCCCCCCCCCCCCCCAAAAAAATCCCCTTCCCCTAGGCCAATCTGGTACTGAGGGGAAAATTCCTTTCCAACCGCCTAAAAAGCAGTAGTTAGAGCAATGACCATAGCAGGTCCTCACCAAACCTGGTAGCTTTTGTACCTCAAAGGGAGGGAGAATAGATGCTGCTCCAGCTGGACTGGGGAAAAAGGAATTCTCTTGCCAGGCTTGATCCTTTGGAACAGTGGTTCCCAAACTTTTTGGCATCACACCCCTTTTTTGATTTTTGAGAAACCCTCAGACCCTCCCTTCCCCCAGCAGCAAAACTTGAGGGGGAAAAAATAAAAAGGAACTGACCGGGGCCGAAAAACAAAAATAGCAGCAAAATTTAGCGGGGAGAATTGACTGGGGGGGGAGGGGATGGAGGTTGGGGTCATCTCGTGCCCCCACTGGAGTTTCTTCACGCCCCCCAGTTTGGGAACACATGCTTTAGAACAACCAGCTCCTTCTAGTTCCTGCAGATGAGTTATCACCACAGCTTCTGAGACTCACTTCCCCACCTCATAAATTGCTATTGCCTCTCTCCTGGCAAGCTGAACAATATTCACCCACTTGAAGGTGCAATATGGTCATTATTGTCATATATTTGGCAAAAGAAAGGAAGAATAACTTGCACTTGGCATATGGGAGCTCTCTTCTGAAGATAATCATCTTAATTTAATACTCATTAACCGTATGCAGTAAAATAATCTCAAAATTAATTCAACTGAGCAGGTTGACTTGAGTAGCATACAACATCCTTTTAGCCAAATTCTTTCTGAGAACATAGTTATATTGTACTAACTTGCTGCACTCTGAATTTAAGATTTATATTTTTAAATTTACCATGACAATTCCGTATATTCAGAGGTAGACAGTAAAGATGTTAAAGACTAGTTGACTATCCAGTAAGCAAATGCTTATCATATAGTTGCCCCCCCCCCCCCCTTGCAGTGTCTCTCAGATTGAGGCAGCAAAGGGAAGAGGGAGTACTTCAAAGGTCAGTGCCTCAGCTGATCTCAGCTCAGCTGTGCAGAGTTGCCCCTTTGAAATACCAAGGTGGTGTTTCAAAACACCAGGGCTTCCTGCAGCCCAGTATCAGCTGGGGGCTCCCCAGCTGATCCTGGGCTCTGTGCAGCATTTCTGCAGAACCCAGGATCAGCTGTGGAGTGCTAGCTGATCCCGGGTTCTGGGAAAATGTTGCACAGAACCCACGGTCATCTGGACAGTCCCCAGATGATCCTGAGCTTTGCTGAAATGCGGTGTGAAGCCTGGGATCAGCTGGGAAGTCCCCAGCTGAACCCAGGTTCTGCGTGGCATTTCAAATCGGCAGTACAACATGGAGCCTGGGGTCAGCTCCATAAGTGTGCTTACGCTTTGAAATGCACAAGAGCCCCTGCTGGGGATTTTTGTACATTTCAAAGCTGGCACGCCTGCCTGTAGTCAACAGACTTCCCACTGGCCCCAGGCTGCACATGGTGTTCCGCATTCCTCCTCTGAAATGTACAAGAGCCCCAGTGGGATGGAGTCAAAGGAGACTGAATTCTCATTCTAATATGTTAATTTTCTGTGTGTACTCTAGAAAGATAAATGCATTTAAGTCATCCAACTTGGAGGCCACCCATGTTTTCAATTATCAGCACCAAAACAGAGGAAAAAAATTGCATTCAGAAGCTAAATAATTCGTTGAAAAGCCACCCAACAGTATTGTTACTGTAAATCTTTACATGCTCTTATGTTTAGTGACTACTTAATGGGATGTTGAGATATTAATACCCATAGTCTAATACCCTTAACATTTTACTTGATTGGCAGGAAAGGAAACTATATTTCTTTCTACTTCTCCCCACTCACTACTGGAATTTAATAGTTTTCTCTGAAATCTATGCTGTAGGAACAAGTAATCTTTGCAGAGCAGATAGTTTTTAAGACTTTGATTCTGCAACTGCATCTTTGTATTCACCCCACAAAACAGTAGGGACGTGATTAGAGCTCTTTTCAGATGCAGTGATCTGTCCATACGAATACAGCAGCAGGTTGAGGAACTTAGATAAAGGGTCTGCGGGACAAATGGATTATACCAGATAAATTACAGAACCATTTTTTCCCCCTTTAGCAAATCATATCACTTTTGGGAATGGAATAACTATTCTAATGATGTGTTTAACTTGAAACCTGAATAAAGTACAATTGGATTATATTTTTTTATTATGAAAATATTACTTAATTAGTTGCTGAAGGAGTAGTTGGCACAATCACTTGACTATGTAAGCATGAATACAGGACTTTCACATACATGGTGAAAAATGTTAGTTACATGTTTTTTATTTTGAAAATTTGGAACTTGAAGCCCATTTTATCTTGTGTGAATGAAATAATGTATTAAAACTGCGTCTTAAAGACTTCCATTATGTGTTTGCTGTAGACAGACGTAAGCTTTGAACTATTTGAGGTATGACTATATCTGAAAGAGCTGGTGAAGCACTCCCCCCTCCCCCCCCGCCCCCCAGCAACAATCCTTTTTTCTTGTGTTTATCAATTAAAATAACTGGGAAAAAATAACATTTGCAAAATGGCAGGTTTTGGTAGTGGTGGTGAGTATTGTGTTTGCAGAGCAAACTAAATAGCTTTTTTAGCCTGAAAATTTAAAAAAAACTCATCTTCTCAACCAGACATATTAGAAGAAGTCTTAATAGCAAAAGAGCCTAGAATCTGAACGCCTCCATTTTTGTGGCAAGAACCTGACTCCACTTATTTTCTTACCTGTGTATTTCTTATTTTTGTGTCTTCTTTATGCCATTCTCAGCAATCTTATCTCTAAATTATGTTTGATTGCTTTTTACTTTTAGAAAGGCTTAGTATAAACTTATTTTATACCCTGTTTAATAGATTTAAATTTAAGTAAAGAATATGTAGAAACAATTCTTCACAAACATTTTCATGCTTATGATGAAATGTTAACATTATTACATAATAGCATATCATATGGTTAATGTTTTCATTAATTTTTAGTTTGGTTAACAAGATCAAACCTGGTATCATTAAGAAGATCAATCGTCTGTCTACACCAATAGCTGGTTTGGTAAGTAATAAAATCATTTCCAGTACCTTTGGTTTCAATGTATGACTTCTCTGATTTTTAAAGGAACATAGTCCTGTGCTTTGTGATTTGAATATAGTTTGTTTGAATGTGTAACTATTTTTCTCTTAGAAATGGTATGCAATAGCTACTGAACTGCTATGTCTGTTGTGCTACGCAACAGCTATTGTATTCACAAAAAAGACAACAGTTTTAGAGCCAGGCTCTAGCTACATACTTACTCATTCTTGTTTGATTCAGATAAATAAAAAAGTGTTCAGATGCAGGCTGAGAAGTATGTTGTTAATTTTTGTAATGCATCAGTATGTGATCAATCATGAAGGGCTTGTCTACAATGAAAACTGAGATTGGCATAGCTACATCTCAGGTGTGAGAGCCTACATCCCTGATAAATATTTTTTTCACACATAATCCTCCGTGTAGATATGGTCAAGTTGACAGAAGAATTCTTCTATTGACCTACATATCTCCTCTTGGGGAGATGGATTAACTACAGCGACAAGATAATTCCTCCTGTTGCTGCAGTGAGTATCTACACTGACATACTACAGTGGCACAGCTGTACCACTGAAGTATTTTATTTGTAGATGTTTCTTAACAATTTATGCATAGGAGTGCTAGCCTTTGAAGAGAGGCAAGAAGTACTGCTGTGTACTCCTATCTCAGATTCACATGCTCATACACTTAAGAACTTGAGTGTGTCCAGAGGAATAGGGCTGTAATCGTTCTGTCATCTGCTACCTCTGAGAATAACTTAGCTCCATCCTCTTTGGAACCCACCTTCAGTTAGTTGAAGGCTGCTATCACATCCTCCCTCATTCTTCTCCAAACTAAATAAGCCCAGTTCATTCAGCCCCTCCTCATAAGTTGTAGCCTATCCCCTAATTATTTTGGTTCCCTCCACTGGACTCTCTACGATTTGTCCACATAAATGTTTAATTACTGTCATCATTTAAAAAAATTATACCATAATTTCTAATTAGGGATGTAAATGGTTAACCTTAACGGGTGAGGCTTATCGGTTCCAGTTAACCAGGAGGGGCTAAAGTAGCTCCCCACCTGTCCCCGGTTCGGCAGTCTAGTCCATGGTGAGCTCACCTAGCCACTGCAGGCTACACACTGGGTCTCTGGGCAGACTTTGCTGCAGAGACTATAGTATAAAGCTTATTTAAGCTTAATACTGCAGAGCCCGCAGTGCATGTAACTGTCTAACTGCTAGCATTTTTAGCAGACCCTTTCTGGCTACTGTGGAGAGATGTACCCTGAGGAGTCCGCTGACATGTAGGTTTGCTGTCTGCTACTTGTGCTGCAAAGGTAGGAAGCTTTATATCTGGCTTCCTGCAGATGACATGCTTTCTCCTAGTCACATGGCCTGCAACTACAGTTGTCAGATTTAAAGGGCCTAAGTTACACTGGAACACAACCCTACTGAAGTTGTCAATTTATGGGGAATCTGAGACAAAATTTTAAAAGGTGCATTTAATTTTATTTGAATGGTGTGAAGAATATGAATCAAGAAGTAGTTTTTTAATCTCTTCACATAACCCAAGAATCAGGAGTCGTCCAATGAAATTAATAGGCAACAAGCTTAAGAGAGAACTTCTTCACGCAATGAACAGTCAACGTGTGCAACTTGATGCCACAGGATGATGGGAAGGCCAAAAGTATAATAGTTTTTTTTTTAAAAAACTAGGTTACTCTGACCATTGTAAAAAAAATATATATATATATATAGAAAATTGGGCTAAATGGACACATTGGTCTGGACAGTGTGGCCATTTTTATGTTACTTGCAGGTGGAATCCAGAATGTCTGCAGTTATTTTCTATGTTTTAAAACCATAGACTTACAAAAAATAAATCTCAGTGTTTTTTTTTTTGAGGGGGGGGGCAAAGTATGTAGTTTTTAAATCTTTAGAGGAGGATAAGGGGCTGTGTAATTAAATTGGTTAAGATGCCATAAAGTTGGGGTAGCTTAACATGTGTCCTTAGGAAAACTAGGGACAGCAGATATATCTGTTTCCACATCAGATGAGTTCATGGCACGTTTGTGGCCTCCTTTCTAGAAAGGCTTTAGGTTTTACTCAGATAATTTTGTGCTCAACTCTTTTTCCCATCAAAGGAATCCAAGAAAGAACTTGAGTCAAACCAAAATTATCCTTGTGGATGACTGTACAGTTACTTTTAGTAGCTTGACTGGCTAAATTTCATTGGAAGCGTCCAATAATACAAACCAGAAAATCATGGAATACATTTCATTTTTGTGGTGGCTTAACTTTTGGCTTGAATAATCACTAAAATATTTAATAGCAAACACATTTAAGCAGCTATATCTTTTATTACTGTTTTAGCACAGTTCTAAAAAAAAAAACCAGTTTGCAGCCATATTTCTTGTTTGTTAGCATAAAAAAGTGCAGCAACACATTGCTCTTCAGAATATAGCTTTTCTTGACCCTGCACACACACATTTTGTTTGTGTTGTAACCCCTTCAAGTTGTTACAAATTCTCAGTGAAGAACTTAACAAAGAACATGAGAAAAATTGAGGTGTGTGTGTGTGTGTGTGTGTGTGGGGGGAGGGGGGGTAGGTGTCCCAGTCTGCATGTTTCTGCCTCCCCAGCACCAACTGGGGTGTCAGGTCATGTGGCCTGCAAACCCATGGGTGCCCCTGGATGACTCCATTTTCCAGAGAAGAGAAATCCTAGTAGTTTGCTCTTTTTCCTTTTGCCTTTCTCTTAGAACTCCATCACAGGTTTGTGTTTTCTCTAATTGAGTTTTCCTACTCTGAAACTCAAATATGCCAAGAAGCTGACATGCTTGATGAAATATTTCAGATTTAGCTGTGGTTGAAGAGGGCTGGTGATAGATGTAATAAATAGAATGTTTTTAATAAGATGTTTTAATAAAGGCCAGAAGGCATTACATGCACTGTGCAGCAGGATTTTATGTTCAGTAGTATTAAGATTATTTTTGAAAAGAAATAATGAAAGTCAGAATAGTGTCCCAAGCTTCACCTGAAATTCATGCTGTTGTGTTGTGCCTGTTGAAACAGGAAAGTAATATGTGTATTTGTATGTGTACCCAATTCTTTTTGAATGGGCTTCAAGCAATTACTATAACATTTTAACTGTTTTAATTTTAAAAAGTGGGGTTAGTTTTTTAGTGTGATTACTTCTACTTCCAAACTTATTTTAGTCAGTTGAAAACAAGCTATAATTTTCATGTCTAGTTTCATTATATTTCTGCCTAGAGAATGTGGGTGTGCCCTGCACAGTTGAAGGATAATCCCAATAGAAGGATAAAAAAGATAATAAATGTCTCAGATGAGTAGCCATGTTAGTCTGTATCTGTGGCACCTTAGGGTATGTCTACACTAGCCACCCTCGTTCAAACTAGGGTGGCTAATGTAGTCATTCGAACTTGCAAATGAAGCCTGGGATTAAAATATCCTGGGCTTTATTTGCATGTTCCCAGGTGCCACCATTTTTAAAGGCCCGGTAGTTCGGACTCCCTGCCCGTGGCTATACGCGGCACGGGCTTGGTAGTTAGAACTAAAGCCCTTAATTCGGACTACCGTTACTCCTCCTGCAATGAGAGAGAGATAATGAATAAGTTGCTTGAATTAATTAAGCTAATCAAGTCAGGGTGGACGTGGGTCATTCACAGCATTTGATGTGGAGATGTGAATATCCAGAGCGGAAACACCCCCTGTGTTAATTGTAAATATGGTGCTGTGCCTTGAGAGCAGAGGTGAAAGTAAGTGGATGCACCCTGATGCACAGCTCCAGCAAGAGCTGGCTGAGCTGCAGTAAAAGCTAGTACAGAGCTATTTGAGAGCTGACAGGGTCCCAGGTTGCAATAGGACCATACCTGTAAGAAATTTTAAGTTGCTTTCGCCTCTGCTTGAGAGGTAATACTACCACTCCCTTTCTTGTCCTGCAGGTTACTGTTATTTCCCAGAGAGGGGCACATTAGAGACTCTTGAACTCACAGCTCCAGCCAGCTGCCCCTTTGTTGTTGTTTTACACTAGCTGGCCATTTCCCCAGGGACTCTACTGTTCCCTTACGTGCAGTGCTGTAAATGAAAGCTTCTTCTCATTGAAAAATGGTCTTTTATTGAAAATGGATTTTTTTGGTGATTTTTTTTTTTGTATATGTTAATAACCTGTTGCATAACATCTTAAAAAGTTTTGGTTTTGTGGGGTTTTTGATG